GACCCCCGAATTTCCAACGTCTTCACCTTTGCCTTCCGCTTTGGCCACTTGGAGGTCCCCTCGACTGTGTCCCGTCTGGATGAGAACTATCAGCCGTGGGGTCCAGAGGCAGAGCTCCCCCTGCACACCCTCTTCTTCAACACCTGGAGGATAGTCAAAGACGGTATGTCTGGGGCGCATGGGTGGCTCAGTGGGTTAAATAAAGCCTCTGCCTTCGGCTCGGGTCCTAATCTCAGGGTCCTGGGATTGAGCCCTGCATCGGGCTCTCTGCTCAGCAGGGAGCCTGCTTCCCCCTCTCTCTCTGCCTGCCTCTCTGCCTTCTTGTGATATCTCTCTCTCTCTCGTTCTCTCTCTGTTAAATAAATAAATAAAGTCTTTAAAAAAAAAAAAAAAAAGACGGTATGTCCTTTTAGGGAGGCACTGTGACCCGGCGGTCTCGCGCTGCGTCCTGCTTCTAGGGAAGCCTGGCTTAGAAGTCAGATTCCAGGAACTTCCTTCCTGTGTGACCTTGGGCAAGTGAATTCACCTCAATGAGCCTCAGTTTCCTCACATGTAAAACGGGGACCACAATGGTACCCACAGCAGTAGGATATACAAAAAATCAAGTGGCATAGATGTGGAGAGCACTACAATGGTTTCTGAGACACAGGAGGTGGTCGATAAATGAGTTATAATTCTTTCTCTCCTCCTCTGGCCTCCAAGGTGTCTGACCTTTCCCTGCCACAGGCTTCCCTACAGAAAGAATTCATGGGTTTGGTAAATAAATTGCTCTTTTCTGCTGTCCTCTAGGACTCTCCACCTCCATCAAGTGCCAAAGATTGGGCCAGTTCCTCTTTATGCTGGGCCGGGCTGCACTGAACCTAGCTTTGCTTAAGTCCTGACAAGTCAGGGCCTTTCTTTGTAGCCTCCTGCTACCTCTCCCCATGTTTCAGAGTTCCCCGGGGGGAACACATGGAAGGAAAACGAACAGACTCTGAGCCAAAGCTCAGAAAACTCCTGAAGCTTATATTCCTGCCATCATCCCAGGAACGTCCGTTCCCCACCCCCTCCTCACCCCCAGCAGGCAGTCTAGATGCCCTCGGCCCAGCACACCCTGAAGGCTGCACCTCGCTCTTCTCTCCTGGCTGCCAGCCTGAGATGTTCAGTTGGCCTCCCTTTTTACCTGATAGGAAACGTCTGGTGGAGGGAGGGGCTCCCAGTGGAAGACGGCCTCACCCTACCCCCGCCCCCAGGATGGCCTCTGGGTCTCCCTTACAGGTGGAATTGACCCTCTGGTCAGGGGCCTGCTGGCCAAGAAGTCCAAGCTCCTGGATCAGAACAAAATGATGACAAGAGAGCTGCGCAACAAGCTTTTCCAGCCCACCCACAAGATCCACGGCTTTGACCTGGCCGCCATCAACATACAGCGGGGCCGAGACCATGGGATGCCTGGTGAGTGGGCCTGGGGTCCCGCCTGGCCCAGGGAACTTCTCGTTACTTTCTGAGGGTCTTAGGGACTCTCTTCTATAACCCAGGGGATCTGGCCAATTCTAAAACTTTAGCAGAGTTGCCAGTTTTTATTTTTTTATTTTATTTATTTTTTTTAAGATTTTATTTATACATTTGACAGATCACAAGTAGGCAGAGAGGCAGGCAGAGAGAGAGAGGGAAGCAGGCTTCCTGCTGAGCAGAGAGCCTAATGGGGGGCTCAATCCCAGGACCCTGAGACCATGACCTGAGACGAAGGCGAGGCTTAACCCACTGAGTCACCCAGGCACCCCCCCAGATGCCAGTTTTTAAAAAATTTATTTTGTTCATCTGTGAAATGGAGCCTTCCATTCTCCCTAATGCAGAGATAAGAGAACATACCTAGAGCTCCTCAGAGCTCCTCAGATGAACAAGAGGCCAACAACTGACTTGTCAAGCTGGTTTAAAAATCCCAGAAAAACATTAAGAAAGGGGAATAGAGACAAACCAATGACTTTTGGACCTTTCTTTTGTGCCCACAAAAGGCAATTTAATGTAGTAATTAAGAGCCAGACAGCCCGGGTTTCAAATCCCAGCTGTGCCATTTCTAGGGATATGTTGGGCAAGTTACTTAGCATCTCTGTTCTTCAGCTGACATATTTGTACAGGGCTTAGCATAGTGCCTGGGCCCACAGCAAGCCCCGTGTAACCTGCTAGCCTTCTCAAGCCTCAAGGACCACAAGTGTAAAACAATGGAGCCCTGCCCACCCCGCCCCAGAGGCTATGAGGCCAGGCTTTCTGGGGCCGATGGAGCTGGAACAGGTATGTCCCCAAGGAGAGTTGTGGGGAAGAAGCCCCTGGGATGAGACAGCCTTGGCCCCTCTGCCCTAGGGTACAACTCCTGGAGAGGTTTCTGTGACCTCCCACAGCCCAAGACCCTGAAGGAGCTGAATGCTGTGCTGAAGAACAGGAGGCTGGCTAAGAAGTTACTGGATCTCTACGGAACCCCTGACAACATTGACATCTGGGTTGGGGGCGTTGCTGAGCCCCTGGTAGAGAGGGGCCGAGTGGGGTCTCTCCTGGCCTGCCTCCTGGGGAAGCAGTTCCAGCAAATCCGTGACGGAGACAGGCAAGTGAGATCTTGTGAGGAGGGCAGGGGAGAGCTGACCCTTTTCTGTGGGGGTCCCAAAGTCCTGTGTGGTCCCAAAGTCCACGTGTTCCCAGCCACCTCCTTCTTTCCCCTTCACTACAGTGGGGCGGCGGGAGGGGCCGCCAGCGGGGCTGTGTGGACAGACCCTGCTTCTGTCTCTGCAGATTCTGGTGGGAGAACCCTGGGGTCTTCACTGAGAAGCAACGGGACTCTCTCCAGAAAATGTCCTTCTCACGCCTGGTCTGTGACAACACCCACATCACCAAGGTCCCACACGACCCATTCCAGGCCAACAGCTACCCCCAGGGCTTTGTGGATTGCTCAGCCATTGACAAGCTGGACCTGTCACCCTGGGCCTCAGTGGAGAATTAGGAGCCCAGGCTTCCCGGCCTCCTGCACTGCGCAGTAGCGCTCCCTTTGGTCCTTGATTCCATTTCAAGCAAGTTTGGTGACCCAGTCCCTTAGAGCTCCACACCCCATCCCGGCCCTTCTTTTCAGCCGGGTTTCTCTCTACTCGCCAGATGCACACTGCGCTCTAGCCCAAGACCAGCACCTCAGCCTTCCCAGCTCTTCCACCTGAATCCTGCTGCTCCCACGTCATCCCCTCTGTCCATGAGATGTCACCCAACCTCTCCCTGCAACATGTCTCATCTGAGGCCACGGCCGTTGGGCTCTTATCTTTCTACCTCTCCTTTCAAACTAGATTGTAAGCTCCTTGAGCCAGAGACCAGTCTGCTTCCGTGTGTCCCCCGTGGCACCCAGCATGACGCTCAGCACACAGCACAGGCTCAATAAACATCTGATGGCTGACTGAAGGTAGTGGCAGTGACGCTATTCCCTTCCGGAAGGCAGACCTTGGAACCACGGCCAAATAAGTAACTGGAGGTTTACAGCGCAGACATGTCTTACCACTAAGATGCTGTGTGCATGGGTCTGGGGGGCGAGAAGTTATGGTGTGGTGAGATTTCAGTTCTCAGAGAAAAAAAGGAAGCAAGGGGCTCCTGGGGAAAGAAACAACGGCCACAGATAGAGCCAAGGGAGAGGGTTTGGGGTGCTGTCCAGGGATCAAACAGGGAGGACTTCCAAGCCTGGATTCCCCTACAGCTAAAGTTGATTTCCCTTCCAGAAACCCTTCTGGAAACTACCCTCTTCTTTGAGGGCAGTCTTTGGAGCCTATAAGACCTTTGAAGGGGCATCTCCAGAATATTCCTTGCACTGCTACCCAATACATACTCATGTCTTCTTTTAAAATGACCCTCCTTGGGGTGACTGGGTGGCTCAGTGGCTTGAGCCTCTGCCTTTGGCTCAGGTCATGATCTCAGGGTCCTGGGATCAAGCCACGTGTTGGGCTCTCTGCTCAGCAGGGAGCCTGCTTCCTCCTCTCTCTGCCTGCCGCTGCCTACTTGTGATCTCTCTCTGTCAAATAAATAAATAAAATCTTTTTAAAAAAATTGTTTTTAATAAATAAATAAAATGACCCTCCAGGTAAGGTCAACCTAGCTGGCACCTCTGGGTCCCCTGAGTGGTGGAGTGGGGGTGGGAGGCTCTTAGCCATCCTCTGGGAAGAGTCCAGAAGCCCGAAGACCTGGGCTGTTGTCCTGGCTCTCACACCTATGTCTTTGAGCTTCAGATAAGCCCTGTCACCTCTCTGGCATCAGTGAAATGTGGAGTATTTGTCCTGTTACGGGAAGTCTTAATGTGGCCTGCGGCTCCTATGGGTACATGAGCCTCAGTATCCTGCACACCTTCAGGCTTCCAGTTGGAAGGGGGCCGGGGGGAGCCCACCAGTCTCAGATAGAGGGGGTCAAGCTCCAGGCAAGATTATCTGGGAAATACCTCCTTCCCTTCCCTCAGCTCTGGCCCTGTCCTCCTGGGCCCAGCCAGCCATCTGCTGTCCCTGCTCTCTGAAACTGGCTGCATGAAGCCAGGACTGAGGAGTCTGCTGTCTCGAGGGCCTCTGAGCCACCATGCCAGGTTGCAGGGATGCTTGAGCCAGAGGCACCCCGTCACCTGGGAAGGGCCTACCTTCCTATCACACCTCTGTCCTTTCTCTCCTGCAGGACAGTGTTGTGTCCCCTCCATCTCCCAGCCCCTGACACAGGCCTGACACAGAGTGAGGACACAGCAGACGTTGGCTAGAGCAGTGAAGGTGCGTGAGGCCTTGGTGACCACAGTGTCTGTTCTCTGGGATGGTGTGGGTGGAAGGTGAGTCAGGTTGGTCTGCTCAGCTTGTCTGGGCCCGGAGGCTTCTAAGAACTGCCTGCTGTGTGTGCATCAGAGGATGACTCCCAGATACCCTCTCCCCCACCCCCATTTCGGAGGCACGGACCACCCTGGTTCAAAATCAGAAGCCAGAGTAAGCCTCATGCCGAGGGCCCAGCCCCATAGCAGACAAGGACAGAGCGAAGATCCCCATCAGTGGCACTTTATTGTCACATCAGATACAAAAACATGGCACAGAAGGGCCAATGAGCCCCACTTCCTCTCCAGGGGGGATCCTGGGAACAAGCAAGAGAACAGTGTAAGGAAGCAAAAGGGGAGCCACCGGCTGAGCCCTGCACCCCTGAGCCCACAGCTCAACCAGCACACCCAGCCTAACTGCTTGTGGTCATTTCCCCAGGGGTCACTGAGTCACCTCCGCTAGCCTGGACACTGTCGGGTATACGCTCCCTGGGGCCAGACATGGTGTAAACAGAGCCTCTAAGGAACCACGACAGCTTTGATTTGCAAAGAAGAAAACTCAAGGTTTTCTCAAGAAAAGTGAAGTTGAGTCATTTGTTCAAGGTCACACAGTGGGAGAGCTGCAGAGTCGGGATTTGAACCCAGCGGGCTGGCTCCGAGCCAGCCTCCACACGCTACTCTCCTCCGTATTCTTAACACTCCCATGAACAGCAAACACATGCTCATATAAATGACTCGTATACACAGCACACAAAACACTACCCACGGTCTCAGAAAACTCACACACAGGAAATACAACTTATACGTACTGCGCACACGCGCGCGCGCGCACACACACACACGCACACTCATCTTCTGGGGCGGAACAGGGAAGAGCTCACCTCAGGAAGGGGCCCCCATGGGACCAGCCCGGGGACTGCCCAGGCGACCCCTCACCAGCACACCCCCTTACCCAGCTTCTAGTCACTGTCCTTCCAGGAAGTTAGGTCCAGTTTGGGGAGTGTGCTACAGCTGACAAAGTCCCGAGGGAACATGTTGGACATGAAGATGTTGTTCTTGGACACGGTGGTGATGCCCGTGTTGTCACAGATGATACGGGGCAGGGAGATCCTGGTCAGTGCCTGCTGCTGCTGCCTGCTGAACACGCCCGTGTTCTCCCACCAAAACCTGCATGGGGACACCCATGGACACTGTGCCCAGGCTGCATTGGCCAGGAGCACCTCTCCTGGCTTGAGCAGCTCCCTGGATGTAAGAGCACCACCGCAGACACTGGAGGGCTCCGGGAACCCCAGCATTTCAGGGGCTTTCGCACGAGTGGGGCCCTCCTCACAGTGCGGTGGAGGGGAGCACCCTTGATGCCCCACTCGCGCTGCATGGAGAGCTGGGCCCGTGCTCCCTCACAACTCCCTGCGCTCTGGCCCGGGGCCATGTCCAGGGTGGTGCAGAGAACCTTGCTGTCCGTTTACAATGGGTCCACCCAGAGAGGGACACTTTTCTCTAGTTTTCCCAAGGGTGTAATATGGGCTAGGTAAGAACTGAGCATGGCAGGTGACGTGACACTAGCAGAGCCCTAGGGACTGTTCAACAGCGAGCACCCCAAAACCGGAGGAGTAAGTAAGAGCTGTGTTTTCTGTCTTCCCTCCTTCACAACGGGGGGTCCAGGCCCCTCCTGGCTGCATAGTAGGTTCAGAGTATATGAGGGATGACCTCGAGGCCCCGGAACACCCTGGAAAATCATGGATCCCTTCCCGCCCTTCCCTTCACAGGTAGAAGTGCCCCCACCCCCAGAAGTTTGAGAACAGGTCTGCAACCACATGGCCAGCCTGAGCGGCTCACCGGCCCTCACCGGTCACCGTCGCGGAGCTTCCTGAACTGGGTCCCAATGAGGCAGGCAAGGAGTGGGCCCACGCGGCCGAAGGGCTCCAGGGGCTCGGCCACGCCACCCATCCAGATGTCAATGTTGTTGGGCGAACCATACTGCTGCATCAGCCTCTCCGCCAGCTGCAGATTCTTCAGCACCGTGGCCAGCTCGCCCACCGTGTTGGGCTGGGGGAGCCCGCAGAAGCGCCTCCAGGCATTGTACCCTGCAGGGCGGGGGAGGGGGGAGTGGCAGGTGGGGGAGGGTCCCACAAAACCCACCTCCCCAACACCCCATGACCATGACCATGATTGCGGCCACGACCCTCTACTGAGGGACATGAGAGAGGACACAGAGCACCTTCTCCCAGGCTCTAAGCCCCCAGGGAACCCCGAACTGAGGGGCCAAGACCCTCTCTCTTTCCTTTGCCCCACCCCACTGTGAGGCAGATCCTAAACTGCCGTAAGTCCTACAGCCTCCAAGTATAGGTATATCTCATTGTCCCCCTCTGAAGATCTCAGACCTATGACGGGGGAGGTGTGTCTAGAAGGTTCAGCCAAACCAGCTGTCCCATAATTTAGGCACAGGCTTTGGGGTTAGGCTAAGCTGGGTTGAAATTCAAGCTCGATCACTGACTTGGCTGGAGAAGAACCTGGGCAAGCCTCAGTTTTCTCATCTGTAAAATGAAAGTGATAATAATCTCTTCCCCCTCAAAGTTCCTGTAAACCAAAGCAACATGATATGTGATGGAGCCAGGTTTCCAGCCCACCTGGGCAGCTGGGGGCACTGCAGAGGGCAGGACCCTAGAGTGGGACGTGGGGGACCTGGGGGGCTCCTGCAGCCCCTCACCTGGGAGGCCATGGTCCCGGCTGCGCTGCATGTTCAGGGCGGGCAGGTCCAGACCGATCCTCATGATCTGCTCAAACAACCGCTCCCGGATCTCGTCCACCACGATTTGGTTCTGGCGATTCAGCTTGGCAGGGGTGGCCATGAGGCCCCGCAGGATGGGGTCGATGCCACCTGGGACAAGAGGAATAAGCTTGGGGAAGGATCTGGCTTAGCAGCCAGAGTTCAGATTGGAGTTAGGAAAAAGTCCCAGGTGCCGTCAGGGCATGGCAGAAGAGGGCTGGGCACACGCAGCCCCTGGCACCAAAGTGGCCTCAGTGGGCAGGTCTTGGCTGGGGAATCGAGGTCCCAGGGGATAATGCCATTCAGATTTGCAAGCTGGGGTGCACCCATCCCCTGGGCTCCTGGGTTACTAAGAATCATAATACACAGGAAGGACCCAGCTCCCTACGAGCCATCTGCTTCCCCTGGGTTTAGTATTATATACAGAAGCAGTCAGGTGAACTGAGCCTGGCCGAGGTCCCTCTCACCTTCCAGCACTACCCTCCAGGTAGCAAAGAAGACCTTGCTGAGTGGAACACGGGGGTTGGGCCCCATGGGCCGGTACTGGTTATCCAGGCGGAACATGAAAGGCTGGATGAGGGTGTGGCCATAGCGGAAGGCATTGGTGAAGACGTTGGCAATGCGGGGGTCCACCGAGTCATTGTAGCCGCGGTAGGATGGCAAGTACTTCCTCATGGCCTGAGGTCCCAGCACCAGGGGCAGGTAGTCCCGGTAAGTGATGATCTGAGGAAGAGTCCCCACTCACCCTCTGTGCAGACTGTCAGCTGCTCCCGGTTTGGGTCGGGGGGGGGTGTCCCTCCACTGTCCAGGGTCAGGGAGTTGTCTCTCACAGCACTGGGTCTGGGTCTAAAAGGGTGGCACCGAGGGAGCAGACCCAGAGCTCCACCACTCCGTGTGACCCAGGACCAGTCCTGAACCTCTGTGAGCCCCAGTTACTCAAATATAAATTAAGGATAATTACCCTGCCCTCTGCCTTAAAGGATTAACTAACAAAGAGCTTTGTTAATCAACAGCTCCTTTGCCCTCAAGTTACTCCAGTCTTTTTTTCTCCTAAGTTTATAAACTCCTGAGGGCCAGGCTTGTGTCTCATTTCTCTTGAAATTACTCGGGGCCCAGCAAGCACTTGGCTCACCGTAGGGTTCAACAGGCCTTTGTGGAGAAGGGGAAGCAAAAAGGAAAAGGGCCACCCTAGATGATTTCCCCCAGGGCAAACAGGAGTCATAGATTCTAGAGTCTGGAATCTTCTGCGAGGCTTAAGTGAATCTCACTTACATTCTTAGTGCAAAGCAAAAACTTACCCTCCACACCTGCAACTCTCTCCCCACTCTGAGTCTAAGAGTATAAAAAAGGTGCGCATGCGTGTGCCTGCATGCTGTGTGTGTGTGTGTGTGTGTGTGTGTGTGTGTGTGTGTGTCTCTGGGAGAGAATGGGAATGCTGAAGCATCAGAAGCTGGGAGAGAGAACCAGAAGCACTTCCCAGGGTTAACCAAGGGTGAGAAGACTGGGTGAGCTATGATAGAGCTGAGTGGGTAAAGGAGCCAGGAGTCACAAGGAGAGGAGGAAAGGAAAGCATTTACTGACCAGCTACTGTGCACCAGGCACTGCAGACCCACCCGTTTAACCCTCCCGAAACCATTCCCGATGGACAGGACAGCAGAAAGGGGAGTCAGCCTAGGAAGGAGTGGATGGAAGCCAAGTGACCTTTGTCAGGTGCTTAGTATCTGCTAAGTGTTTTCACACTTATCATTCAATCTTTACAGCATCATGGTTGCACACGCTGAGGCTCACGGGAGGCGGGGGTTAACTTGCCCCAGGTCACACAGCTAGGATATGGTGGAGGCATGTTTGGATCCCAAGCCTGCCTGACCCCTGGCACTGCCAGTACTCAGGCCTGCTACCTGGATCATGGCTCCCACAATCTTGCGGGCTTCCTGGTAGAGCCTCTCTCCATCCCAGCAGGGGTTTAGGCGTTTGAGCTCTGTGGCCAGCCGGTTGTGCTCCCGCAGAAAGAGCGTGTGCATGGAGGTGAGCTCGGGCATCTCGCTTGAGCGCATATCGCCTTGGGGAAGCAAAAGCTGCTGTCATTCCTAAGATCCCATCAGGAAGGACTTGCTCTCCCGAAACTCCCTCCCCCAGACAAGGTCTGAGAACCAGACTTCCTCTCCGTCCATCTTCCCACACCATGCTCAGTTTTCACCTCCTCTAGGAGGTCCTCCCTTGATGCCCAAATCCACCATGATAACTTTCTCCTCTGTGTAGGGGCCTTGCTGGGCGGAGATGCTCATTCAGTAGGCAACAGAGCTGACACATGACTGGCCACATTCTGGTAGCCGAGACTGGGGGCTCCTGGAGGACGAGGACCAAGGCTTGTGCCTTTTTGTATCTGACCTTCCATCCAGCTCGCGAAGAGACATGTGGAATTTAACACTGTGCCGGCTACAAAGTAGGTGATCCGTGAACTGCCTGGTTGACTTATTCCCCTGATGCACGGAGGGCCAAGATGTAGCGTGCTCGTTGACCCTCCCTATTTCCATGCCTGTGCATGACAGCTAATGATCACAGCACTCTCTCCTGCTCAAACTGCATGCAACCTCAACACAGGACTCTAGAAAGCCACTACCATCTGATCAGAGTTGCCATCCCCATCCTTACTACATGCTAATTTGAAGCCTGCTCAGGCTCCCAGGAGTGCGGGGGGAAGAGGGCCTAGAGCCTAGGGTGCTTACAGTCCACTGAGACTGTTCAAAAAAACAAAAACCAAGTAAGAACTCTAATCCCTCTAGCCCTCCCCACCTCTTCTCTGGAAGGCCAGAGAATTGGGGCCAGACCCTTTGAGCAGGACGCTGGGTCCAGTCTTTATCAGCTCCAGATGCTGGTGGGAAAGAAATTCTTTGAGAGCAGGTTTTACTATCCCATGAGCGGCCAGGGGTCATGACGATCCAGGCCCAGGACACGCAGCTTGATTCCAGGATGGGGGCGGCCATAGCTGGAGGAGGAGCCCTTCTTTTACATCACTAGCCCAGAAAAGTATGGGCTTCCGTATGGACCAGAGCTGACCTTGACTCTCCTCCCCAGTGTCGTGGCAGAGGAGAGGCCACTGGAAGCCAACAGGAGGAGAGGCTGGGAGGCCAGATGTGAACAGAAGGGCCTCAGGACCGCTATTGGATTTCTGTTAAAGAATACTGGATGGGTGCCTGGCCGCTCAGTTGGTGGAACATGCGACTCTTGATTTGGGGGTTATAAGTTTGAGCCCCGGATTGGGTGTAGAGATTACTTAAAAATAACATCTTGGGGCTCCTGGGTAGCTCCGTCAGTTGAATATCCAACTCTCGATTTCGGCTCAGGTCATGATCTCTGGGTCCTGAGATCAAGCCCAATATCATGTTCCAGAGTGCTCCTCCCTCTCCCTCTGCCCCTCCCCAACCCAAATAAATAAATAAATAAATCTTTTTAAAAAATTAAATAAAATCTTAAAAAAAAAACACATTGGAAAATTTCTGGGCGTGGGCACCATTACTGCTCCAACCACTTCCCTAGAGCTGCCACATGTTTAAATTTAAATTTAAATCTCACCCTCTCGTATTACAGGGACTGGAGACAGCAGGAGGTGACAGTCTGCAGCTGCACCATCCCACAGACCTTTCTGAATTGATGAAAACATTCTACATCTGTGCCACCCGACGTGGGAACCACTAACCTAGGAGGCTGCTGAAATGTGGCTAGAGCGGCAGAGGAACTGAATTTTATTTAAGTTAATTTTGAATTAATTTAAATTTAAATGAAAATTGCCACGTTTGGCGCGTGGCTACCACAGGCAGATGATGCCGCCGTAGAGAGAGAGGACGCCGCGTTCCTCTCCATCCCCACAGTTCACTGTTTCTGGGGACCCAACTCTCTGCCAGAGTCCAGAGGGAAAAGGAGAGATAGAGAAAGGGACAGACCGAAGGACAGAGGCTCCTCCTCACCCATCCCTGAGTTTCCTTCTTAGGTTTGGCTTTTTGGTTTTTTGTTAGTTTCAGTTTGGGTTTTTTGGTTTGTTTGCCTTCCTGGCTCCACCCAACTTGTCACCAAGGCCACTGGATTAATGTGAAGTTGGTGAGGGAGTGGACGGAGTCCGTCTAAGTGCAAACCCATAGGCTGCTCACAAACAGGAGCCCTGCGGCGCCAGCGCTGCGCCCCGCCTCCACCCCCCACCCCAGGTTCCCACTCCAGGCTGACCTGCCAGGAAGCAGGGGATGTTCACCGAGCGGTTGGTGAGGAGGCAGGGGTCATCATGCAGGGTGTCGAAGGGTAGCAGGGCCCGGCCGTTGTCGCTGAAGCGGGTGTTGACAGCCATCAGCCCCAGCTCATTGGACGTGTTCCGAAGCTTGGCGGCCAGAGGCTCCTCGCTGCCGTACACCATGCTGGCGTCCACGAAAGAGGTGAGCGCGTTGATCTGATTGCGGATGGTGATGTTGCTGTCTGTGCAGGCCGGCGAGGAGCGGAAGAAGGGGATGCAGTCACGCTGGTTTTTGATGCGGGGGTCATCTGGTGGGATCTGTGACACACAGACAGGGCCGGTTGGCTCTCCGCCTGTCCAACCCCTACTCCCAAGGCCTCGATCCCACCTCCAAAGCAGACTGGAACCCAGGACCAGAGGGGGAGACCCAGACACTGAAAGGAGGGCTTTTCAGGACTTCTGCCCCCCTCGGCCTTCAGTGAGGGGGCCTCTCGAGGCCCACAGAGGCTCACTGCCTGGGGCTGCACCTGCGGTGTTCCTCCCAGCTACCAGCTTTGGGGATGTGACCAGAACTCTGGAATGGGGAATGTGCGGGCCCCTGGAGGAGGGCCAGCAGGTCCTCACCTAAACGTCCTTTCTCTCCCTCCTTTACTCCAGGGTCTCTGCCCCTCACTCCCCTGTTCTCTGGATGTGGTCTTGAACTCTCAGTTAGCTTCCTCTTTCTGTCTTTCTTTCTTTTTTTTTTTTTTTTTAGCCTCCTCTTTCTTTTCATTTCCTGCTCCCCCCACCCCACCTTCCTGTCCCTTTCCTGTCTTTCACTCTGGCCCGTGCCTTTGTCTCCTCTCACTCTCTTCTTCTCAGCCGTTCTCCTTCCTTTCTCTACTCCTCTCCCTACTGTGCCTCAACCATCCAGTCTCCTCCAGCCCTCCTGCAACCGACAGCCCAGGCTCTGTGCAATGTGCGCCAAGAGCGGGGGTGAGGAGGTGGCCCTCAATGAGGAGGAAAGGGACTGAGAACCTGGCACCGGCACCCCAAAATTGGAGGGAGACGGGAAGGTCCTCTGCACGGAGGCAGAGGCAAGTTGGTGGCAGGGCCAGCCCTAGTTGCTGGGGCGGGAAATCTAGGCACAGAGGGAGGAGGCCGTTTCCAGGAAGGATTCCCCCTCTCTCCACTGGGCAGGCAGCGGAGGGGCGGGAAGAAGGGAGCACCTTGAGTGGGAAGCAGGGCGGCTGCTGCAGGCAGCTGGTCTCGCAGTCGACACCAGCGACGAAAGAGACCCGGGCGCCCGGGTCCGGGCTCAGGTCGAGGTCGTGGTCGATCAGCTGGCCCCACTGCATGAACAGGAGCGAGCGTTCCTGGTCTGGGGTCAGCTGCTCGGTGGGGAAGCGCACGATGGCGTTGGAGACTGCGCGCGCCTGCGGGACACGGAGCGTCAGGGGACACCGGGGACACCTGGGACCCCGCGCGTCTCGAGGCCAGGCCTCGCCCCCCACCTCCCACCCGCCACCGCCGGCCGGCACTCACCAGGGGCACCGGGAAGCCGCCACGCTTGACACCGGGCGTCCAGCCGTAGGGCAGCGAGGAGCCGTCCTCGTACTCGGCCGGCAGCCAGCGCGCAAAGGCGCGGTTGGAGGCCCCCAGCGTGGGGCTGCGTCTGCAGAGGGAGGACCGAGCGCTGACGTGAGGTGGCCCCGGGGGGGAGTGGCCTGCCTGCCAGGGGCCACCCGCAGCCGACTGCACCTGTTGTTGCAGTGACCGGTGATGGTACGGTACTTGTCGTTCTCCGGGCACGTCACCCTCACGTCCTGGTAGGCGCAGCCGCTAGACTTGGACAGCAGATTCAGCTGGGCCGGTGTCAGCATGTCTGGGGCCGGGGAAAGAGGGGCGTGGTTGGCGAGTCCCCCCATCTCCTATTCTAAGCTGGGCAGTCTTGGTTGGGGGCCCAGTCTGAGGACACAGAAAGCAGATCCCGGAGCACCTGAGACTCCCCAGAAGAAGAATGGGGGGTGGGGGTCACTGGGAGATGGCCGAGGTCACTAGCAGAGCAGGAGACCAAGGTTGCAGGGGCAGCAGTACCAGTGATGTTGAAGGGCCCCCGCCTCAGAGGCCGCAGCTTCCCCTCCAGCAGGCTTAGGGCCACGTGCAGGTAGTCAGCAGCCCGCACAGCTGTCCTGGTGGCTGCCACTGGCTGCTTGAAGTAGGCCAGCAGTTCCATGGGGCTGGCCAAGCCACTGTGAAGACGCCTCTTGATGCTGCTTAGAGAAGGGAGGAGTGAGGCCAGAGACAGTGGGGCGGGGGATACTCCGCAGAGCCCTAGCCCCAGGCCAGCATGCAGGACAGTGCAGACAGAGCCACAGACAGGAAGAAAGTTTCTCTTTATAAACAGAGTGTGGATCTGGGTGTCCAGACAGAGGCAAAGCCATGTGGAGGGATGGTTTTGAAGGTATTCTCAAACCCAAAGACACTAAGACCGACAGGCAAACAGGGGGCTCTATTCCCACCCACGAAGTCCCCGTGTCAAGTTGCTTCTCTGAAAGACCCGGGGCAGCCGTGCCCAGAGCTGGGAAGTGCCCGGCACCCCACCTCTCCCGCCGCTCCTTGTAGGCCGTGTCCACTAGTCGCTTGGCTTCCTCCATGCAGGTCAGTACCACTGAGGTCTCTACCTCCTCCGGGACAGCTGCCCAGAACAGGGGTCACAAAGTCAGGAATGGGCCCCAGAGCCAGGGTGGCCTGTGTCAAGTCCTGGAGACTCAGAACCACCCTGAACACACCACCTTTTCTCTTCTTTCTGCACCATTACCTGGACTGGCACCCTCAGAGCACCGGGGCACAGCCAGAATGGCCAGGAGCCCAGCAAGGACTGGCAGCAGCTTCATCTCTGCAACAAGACCCCAAGCCCAGTAAGTCCAGAGGGCCCAGTGCATTTGGGAGAAGAAAGCCCCACCAGCCCTCTCCCCCTGACCCCTCATTCCCACCTTCATACTCCAGTACAACCTCAGTGGGTCCTACCTACCTCCTCAGGGAAGGGGTCCACAGTGCCCCTCTTTTTCTAGCTTCAGTCTCTCAACCCCCAGGACCTCACCTCCGAAGTTCACCTGGTACTGGCCAGGAGGCTAACCTGAATCAAGGCCTTTATGTCTTCTGCACTGAGGGAGGGGGCGGGGCAGAAGAAACCCCGCCCCAGGAGACTAAATGCTCTCTCTTCCCCCCACTGGGGTTGGGGTGCCCAAATGGTGGCCCCTCATATGGGAGAGAGGGACAAGGAAGGAGAGACCAGAGCTGTGCCCAGCCTTTGAACTTAGCATCCCACCCCAGAGCTTCTTAGCTCCCATCATGTGCCTAGACCAGTGCTATCCCTACGGGGGATAATTAATGCCCCTCCAAAATTCTGGTTAAACTATCTGGGGGTCCTTTGAAAGGTACAAAAGTCAGGAACCAACAGCCTAAGAAACTATAGGACATGGAATGACCCCAGAGGAGGAGGGAAGGTGTAGGGGACACCTGGAGTAATGATCAATCAGCCTTGGGGGGCTGCCACCCACCCCCAACAATATGCTGGCCCCTGGCAGCAACCCCATTCTTGACAAAGGCTGAAGGGACAGGAAACCTGGCAGGAGACCGTTGGGTTACATAGGAAAGCCTGGGGACTACAGGCTGGGGACCACGGTAACTTCCTCACTCCCTCTTCTCCTCCCCTTTCTTCTGGGCTCCGGCATCTGGTCTTCAGCACTCCTGCCATCTGTTCCTGGATTTCAGGAACCAGGAAAGAGCAGAGCTGGATGTGGTTAGTGGTCAGTTGGGTGACAAAGCCCAGGGCCTCTCTGGGATAAGATCAGTGCAGTTAAGAGGACAGGGGTTAACTCTTAGGATGGGTCTGAAAGGGGCGCCTGGGTGGCTCAGTGGGTTAAAACCTCTGCCTTCGGCTCGGGTTATTATCTCAGGGTCCTGGGATCGAGCCCCACATCGGGCTCTCTGCTCAGCGGGGAGCCTGCTTCCCCTTCTCTCTCTGCCTGCCTCTCTGCCTACTTGTGATCTCTCTGTCAAATAAATAAATAAAGTCTTAAAAAAAAAAAAAAAGGATGGATCTGAATGGGCCTGAAATAGAAGAGGGGGAGGTGTCTCCCCTTAAGAACACTGGCAAGGCAGGACAGGTATCCTCTGACTAATGGCTGTGCTTGTTCACCTCCCTGGGCCCTTGTCGGGCTTGTATGATGTGTGGTCTAGCCCCATCTCCCACTCCAGCCACTTTCCTGCCCTCCCTCTTGTCTTTTATGCCCACACCACATCTTGGCTGAGGAACAAGGGACAGAACACACCAAGAACACCTTCCGGGTGTGCCCGCAGACCCCGTCACCAGTGGAGCCCATGAGAAAGGAGGCCATTCTTCCAGGCTTGCTCTCTCAGTGCCTTGCTCTGTGTGAACTTGGACAAGTGGCTCCTTGTGAATCAGATCTAGAATTTTATACTTTTGAAATACTTTTTTTTATTTGACACTTTAAAAAAAAAGATTTATTTATTTATTTATTGGACAGAGATCACAAGTAGGCAGAGAGACAGGCAGAGAGAGAGGAAGGGAAGCAGGCTCCTCTCTAAGCAGAGAGCCCAATGCAGGGCTCGATCCCAGGACCCTGAGATCATGACCTGAGCCGAAGGCCGAAGCTTTAATCCATTGAGCCACCAAGGTGCCCCTGAAATACATTTTTAGGGGTACCTGGGTGGCTCAATTGGTTAAGTGTCTGCCTTCAGCTCAGGTCATGATCTTGGGGTCCTGGGATCCAGCCCGGCATCTGGCTCCCTGCTCAGCAAGGGGTCTGCCTCTCCCTCTGACCCCGCCCCCTGTTTGTGCTCTCTCTCTCTCTCTCTCAAATAAATAAATAAATAAAAATTTTTAAAGATTTTATTTACTTATTTGACAGAGAGAGAGACCACAAGTAGGCAGAGAGGCAGGCAGAGAGAGAGAGAGGAAGAATCAGGCTCCCCGCTGAGCAGAGAGCCCAATGCGGGGCTCGATCCCAGGACCCTGGGATCATGACCTGAGCTGAAGGCAGAGGCTTTAACCCACTGAGCCCCCCAGGTGCCCCTAAATAAATAAAATTTTTTAAAAAAGAAAATACTTTTTTAATCCCACAGGTAATATATTTTTATTCATGAAAAGTCAGAGAACACAAGAAAAAATAAAAATAAACCAAAATTACTTCTAATCAAGTGAGGTTAAAAGCAAAATTTTTATCTTTCCAGGCTTGTCATTTTTCATACAAATAAGAAGCAGGAAGAAAATTTCTCAAAACACCACTATGCATAAATAACCCCATTTAATCATTTGACACCCTATATGTAGATATAATATGTATTTTAAATGGTGATAAAAATAGACTTTAAATATTGCTTTACGACCTAGTTTTAGTACTTAAAGTACTTTAGTACTTTAGCCTGGATTCTCTCTATGTCGATAAATAGACTTAGTTCATTCATATATCTGCATAATATTTTGCATTAAGTACTAGGATTACTCACTAATCCCTTCTTGTTAGATCCTTGGGTTGCTTCCTATTTTCAGTGTTATAAGCAGTACTAAGTCCAACATCTGTTGGGTAAAATCTCCTGTCACATCTTCAATTATTTCCTTAGGCCTCGAAGTAAAATTGTTGCATATTTAGGTATCAATATTTTTAAGGCTTTAAAAAATTGTCAACTATCCCACTTTAATGTTTCTCTTTTATTATTTAAGTTAAACATATGTGAAGTATTTATAAAATATTTGGAGAACTATATCTTTTGTAATCCATACAGCATCTACTGTTTTCCTAACACCTTAATTTTACTTTATGTTTTAATTTCAGTATAATTAATTCAGTGTTTTAGTAGTTTCAGAGGTATAATAGAGTGATTCAGCAATTCTATAAATTACTCAGTGCCCGTCACCATATGTGGACTTTTAATCCTCTTCACTTATCTAAGCCATCCTTCCATCCCCTCTGGTAACTATCGATTTATTCTCTGTATTTAAGAGTTTGGGGTTTTGTTCATCTCTTTTTTTCTTTGTTATTTGTTTTGTTTCTTCAAGTCCACATATGAGTGGAATCATTTGTTTTCCTCTGATTTAATCACTTGGGATTTTACCCTCTGGGCTCATCAGTGTCGTGGCAAATGGCAAGATCTTATTTTGGGGGGCTGCCTAATGTTCCATTGTGTATGTATCTTAATTCATCCATTGCATATCTTCTTTGTCCATTCATTTATTGATGGACACTAAGATTGCTTCCATAGTTTGGCTATTATAAGTAATGCTGCCGTAAAACATAGGGGTACATTAAAAAAATCGTCAAATGGCCTCATGAAGATTGCATTTCACCCTCCCTTTAGCCATGCATGGAACACCTGTTCCCCGTTGCCCTCGTCAACTCTGACAATTAGTGTCCTTTTACTCTTTTAGGGGGAAAGAGACATTTAACACAAGCCCCTTGCAGCACAGATGAGAAAGACAGAGACAGGAAAGGAAGTGCCTGTGCCAAAGGTGACCGTGTGGCACAGTTCAGGATAATCTGGCTGTTAGGTCTCCTGACTTACACACCAGCGATCTTGAAAAAAAAAAAAAAATTCTTTATTTAAATTCAATGTAGTGAACAGATAGTGTATAACTAGTTTCAGGGGTAGAATTTAGTGGTTACTCAGCTGCATCTTAACTGTATCATATCACGTGCTCTCCTTAATGCCCATCACCCAGTGACCTCATTCCCCCCCCCCCCCCCCCCCCCACCCCCCCTCTTTCCTAGAGTTTACCATCTCTTATGGTTTGCCTGCCTCCCACACCAGCACTCTTCACCCAGTGGCCTCCGCGTACTTATTTGTGACCTTTCTTTCCGGCACTTATCCAACAAGTATTTACCAGGCCCTTGCCTATGCCGCCTGCCCTGTGCTGACCACTGGGCCTACCCTGCCGAGCAAAGGCCTTTTCCTCGAGGAGCGCACAGGAGAAAACAGATGACACAGTAACAGAACGTCAGAGCCTCATGCAGGGTTCTTTGGGAGCACTGAAGAGCAGCACTTGGACCAATCGGTACCAAGGAAGGGTTTCTTGAGGAGCTGGTGCTTGAGACTATTTTTAGGAATGTTTAGAAGTGAAGTAGGGAGTGCCTGGGTGGCTCAGTTGGTTAAGTGTCTGCCTCAGTCGGTTAAGCATCTGCTTTCGGCTCGGGTTATGACCTCAGAGTCCTGGGACTGAGTCCCGTTTTGAGCTCCGTGCTTAGCGGGAAGCCTGCTTCTCCCTCTATCTCTGCCTGCCGCTCCTCCTGCTTGTTTCTCTCTCATTTTTCTCTCTCTCTCTGTCAAATAGATGAATAAAATCTTTTTTTTTTTAAGATTTTATTTATTTGATAGAGATCCCAAGTAGGCAAAGAGGCAGGCAGAGAGAGAGAGGAGGAAGCAGGCTCCCCGCTGAGCAGAGAGCCCCATGCAGGGCTCGATCCCAGGACCCCGGGATCATGACCTGAGCTGAAGGCAGAGGCTTTAACCCACTGAGCCACCCGGGTGCCCCTAGATAAATAAAATCTTTAAAGAAGAAAGAGGTTGACCAAGTAGACACAGGGAGGAAGAGCATTGTGGGCCCAGAGAACAACATAGCAAAGGCCTTGACACCAGTGGTCTTCACTTAGACAGTTCCCAACTGGGTGCAAGGATGAGGCCGGATGAGGTTGGTAAGGCAGGAACCTAACAGTCTCGATGGCCTGTTGAGAAGTTCTTGTCCTGAAGGCTCCAGGGAGCCGTAAAGGCCATGAAGGGCACAGAGGCACATTTTAAAAAGCTGACTCAGCAGAGTGGAGGGTGCCCTGGGCTCCAGGCCCAGAGGCCAAACGCTGGGCAGGAGGCACCTCCGGGATTCAGGGGCGGGGGTGAGAGGCCAGCCCTGTTTTCTCACAGCGGGCAATGATGCAATGAATGTTTGGAAAGCTAAAGCCTCTTCAAAGAATGATGTTAAAATGTCCTTCACTCTACCCATGTGAGGATGGGAGGATTCTCAGGAATTCTCAACCATCCCCAAACCACCTGCCTTTGGCTCAGGCCTGGGGCTGTGGGCTTGTGTTTGCGGGTGGAGGCTTGGGAGGCTTCGTGACTTTATGA